TACCTTAGGCTAGCATTTATCTAAAAGCTTCAAATCTATTAAACTATGTAGACATAACTTTTGTCTTATTGAATAGTATGTCTAGGAGATGCGCTCCCATTACCTTAGGCTAGCATCTATCTAAAAAGCTATAACTGAAACTACTGATAATTACTATATGCATTTTACCTGATGATAAGTATTACTTGCTAAACTATAATTATATGAAATGATGTATAAATATGACACCATGATAAGTCATAAAAGCACTTGATGTGGATCTTATTATTGTAGGAATACTTAGTAAACTATGCATAGACACATTAGTCCAAAATGTAACTCCATAATGCCAGCCTAGTTCAGCAAGGGTGGAAACTGGACTTTTAAAGTCAGTTAACTCCCTTGTCTCGGGAAGATGTGATATGTGAAACTGAGGCATTGTATGTGTTATGAGGGTCAACATTGACTGTGAAAAGAATACAGATTTGAACTGGTAAACAACAAGGTGTTTCAGGGACTTAAATCTAACTTGCTTTCTCAATTATATAGCCCAAGCCTTCTGCCCCCTTATCCTGGTTAAATCAGCCACTATACCTGATAAAGTGGGTCTGTGCTCAACAGGGTCGTATGTATTCTGGTAGATATGTTACATATTGCTATGATACAACAAAAATACAGCATTTTAACCCTATTCTCACCCTCGGCTGGAACAGGGTTTTCGTTTATCCATTATGAGCAATTGTTAAGAGGCTGAAAGACACAGCGTCGTGCTTACTTCCTCTCAGGATGATTGTTGTCCATATCATATGTAATTGGATTTATTCATACTTCTCATATCAAAGCATTGGATATTATATCTCATGCTTCAGCTTATTCAGTCTATAATCCATATTGATATATAGTAATGATATTATCATACAGTCATGATATTCAGACATACAGGATCATTCTAAATGCATCCCTGTGATATATGTCCTTATTTCATATCATTTTTATTGGCTTTTTAACAATGGAAATACTTCTAATATCAAACCATTGAATGTTATATACTACTCAAAGAAAGTGAAATAACACCAGATTTTATTTTTAGTCTGTAATACTGTATGCTATATTTAGTCTGGCATGACACGATTTTTGAAAGTTGGGTGTTCTTTAACTTCTTTTGAGTAGTATATATGTCATGCTTCAGTATATTCATGAATTCTATTATGAAATATTTGTGATGTAATCACACAAACATATAGTTATATTATTTCATTCAGGGGTGGAGGTTTTGCCATGTTAAACAGATTTTTAAAGAAAGCTGCTCTTGTTGGCATTAGTTTATTGACTACTTCAACTGAATGTGACTATGTTTGGTTTTTGCATCTTCTGCACACAGCCATGACACTGCTACTGTGTGGTGGATATTGAAGTGTATATGTCAGTGCATGCTCTCAACTATCTCAGCTTTTTAACTTTTATATCCATCAGGATTCTTTAATTCTTTGTTTTTATGTGTCCATGAAAATAAATATGTAAAATCAGTTTTCTTATTTGCTTATTATTACTTCTCAGTGGTGCCCTGAGGTGTTGTCAACCAGATTAACTGGATACCTTTTGTTTGTTTCTTTCTTTAACGCCGCACTCAGCAATATTCCAGCTATATGACGGCGGTCTGTAAATAATCAAGTCTGGACCAGACAGTCCAGTGATTGATATCATGAGCATCAATCCACGCAATTGGGATATGATGACATGCATCAACAAAGTCAGCATAGTCGTCTCTTACAGCAAGCATAGTTTGCTGAAGACCTATTCTTACCCCGATCTTCACTGGTGCCAGATTTTATTGGGATATATTTTCATACTCCATCTTTTATTATATAGTTAAATTAGAAAATTCTTTTTACCAGACTGCTTGGACACACTGGTATTTCACAATAGTTTACATGTTCGATTGTATCACTTTCTCCTCCTCCCTCAAAGACGTACGGTCATATTGTCTTCTTTACCCCAATGACAAAACCCAAGGGAGACCGACATCTAGTTTTACAACACTCTGGTGAGTCACAACACGCAACACACGGGTGCAGGCTAAAACGGCACCTCAGCAAAACGTCACCGATTTCTCTGGCGAAAACGGCACCGCATTTGGTGAAAACGGCTACGATGTGTCGGGCGAAAACGGCACCTCTATTTTTAATAACGATAAGAACGATTTTTGTAGTAATATATATGGTTTATCATATAATGGGTAGGTTTCTCGGCAGGATAAAGCCAACGGATAAAAACCATATCCGTTGGGGTCATATGCGGATAGAGATGCAAATATCAAAGGTCAAGTAGGGACTAGGCGTACATGTTGCTTCGCCACTTATTGGTGTTTGCAAATTACCATGTAAGAATATGGTGCCGTTTTCGCCAAGCAATAGTAGCCGGTGACGTTTTGCTGAGGTACAGTTTTCGCTATAACCCAACACACAGTAGGATCGCCGGCAAGGAAGCTGGAATAGAAGGCAACAAAGCCAAATAATTCTTTTCCGGGCCACTGTGGCAACACGATAGACTAACATCTAGTCTGAAATGAACATATTTTACAGAAAACATCTAGTCTCTGAAATGAACATGTTTTACAGAAAACATCTAGTCTGAAATGAACATATTTTACAGAAAACATCTAGTCTCTGAAATGAACATATTTTACAGAAAAAACAGTTGCTAAATTATAGTTATAAAATATAATGAAAAGGAGCCCAGAGACTTTCTTCATTTTCCGATACTGCAGTAATCTAAACTTGCCAAACATTACAGACTTGCATGGGATGTATTGGATATACTTGTTTCAGGGTCTGTATGAGACTAGCAACACGACTACATCAGGTAGTTCATATAATATATATCATGTCAACGACTATATCAGGTCAGCGAACAAGTGTTATGCGAATTAACAGGTAAATACGACAAACCAGTCAAACCTGACACACTGAGATCACGAGAAACAGACGCGTAAACAGTTCTGAAACAATCAATTTCAACTACGTTTGCGGAATAAACGGCTTGACGTGTCTGTTTTTCTAGACCTTCGTCGTTTGTTTCAAATCGGACTATTGCTAATGGACATATAGACCATGTAGTGATATAACAAGGTTTGAAAATGAATGTCAAATTCCAGGATTGAAACCATCCATTTCAAAGCCTTGGGTGTGACATCTTCCCGAGGCAAGGAAGTTAACTGACTATAAAAGCCCATTTTTATAGTCGGTTAGCTCCCTTGCCTCGGGAAGATGCAGGCGTGTAACAGTATTTAAAAAAATAGAAAAGATGTGATGTGAAATTTAAAAAATCACTGTTTTAAAACCTAAATTGCAACTTGCTGGTGTAAAGCCTTGGTTTTGAAGTTGAGCAAGTAAGTCGAACACTCATGCAATCAAGGTTGACCAGAGGTTTAAGGAACCTAACATATAGCAGACCGACACCAAACCTGCCTCACTCAAATCTTTCATGCTGGAGTAATATTGACTCCCGTGATGTGACCCGACTGAAATACCGTTAAACCAAACGCACTCGCTAAAGTAACAATGGGTGACTTGTGTACAGAACTCCACACACACACACACACACACACACACACACACACATTTCGCCCCATACATTCATAATGTCGCTTACTGCTCTATGGGTAAATGGCTGTCCATATATCATGTTGCTAAATACGGTGTCAAGACGTTTTTAGAAGAATGAGCAGATGAAGCTTCGACATAAATAGATTGCCATTGCTCAATACTCTTCATTGAAATAAAAGCGACAAAATCCTCCCTAATTAGGTTTACTGAATATAATAAAAAATTAACAGTTTTGGGAACAACTTTTTAAAATTGTGTGCTCAGTCTTCACTGCAAAAATTGAAAAGAAATTTAAAAACTGAATTGGTGAAGGATCGATCTACCTTGTCATGCATTATATTGCAATTATTCTTTCCATTTTTATTTATTTATATATCATATCATATTTGTATGTTAATGTAGAATAAAAGCGTCAAATAGGGAATTACCGCTTCCAGTTGAAGATCAAATGCATGGTCGGTAACAACATCGAACTTACATCAATTTATGGGGAGGGGGGGTGCGTTGGGCATGCACTCATGTTTTTAGAGGATATGTATCGTGTTACTAGCTACGGATTTACATTATGTTGATGTTTACTACGCAGTTCAGAGAGCTGAATTTGGAGAAAAGGTAACTACGAAACAAATGCATTCCTGTGTTCCCTATCAGTGGAGTAAACACGTTCTCGCCAGTGTGTGAAAGGAGCAAACGGTGTTCGTTCACACGAACATATTTGTCACCTAGCCACAGGACGTTACGTCATGTCTAGAGTAGCCAATGGGGTTAATCTGTTTATGAATACGACCAAGTGCGTCACCCCACAGCTTGCACGTACAAGTCCTAGCTTCCGTGTGTACCTGTCAACAGAATCTCTCATGTTTTTATACCCCCGGGGAGAAACTTCAATATTTCATTCATAGACATTAAGATGTAGTTAATGTGATGAATAAACATGAGCGATATATTCGATATAATGCTAAAAAATACAGTCATGGACACAAAGGACGTGGTTCATAATTTCAACTAAAATAAGCAAAGTTGCATTTATTCGTTTTAACTTAGAACGTCCTTTCTTTAATTTACACCTTTGTGAAAATCCTCTAAGAACTTTTATCCAAAAACGTTCAAGATATTTAATAATAATTATACCGAATTACAGAAAAATGGACAAACAGTGTAAATATACTATCCATATTTTTTCTCTTCTTTCTCTGTATTTTGATATTTAAAAAATCAATATACATAACAAAGGTGTAATAAATAACGAGGGTATTTTTCTACAACGTATTCCCAATACCATTCACATTTGTGAACAAAATATATTTAATCTAAGCTCACCAAAATATTAATAAATACTCCCGTAATTAGTGTTATGCAATTCAGTTATTTTTCTCTTGGACTGATGGGCGTTTCTCTACGTAATAAGAACACGGAACAACCAATGCATGCTTACTCCCTCAACATCCGGGATGAAACAAGAAATAAATAGAGCACGTCAGTCCTTGACATCCTCACTTATCCAAAGAACCATCGTGAAGCCTAGGCCACAGGTATGTACACAGCCCATGCTCAGTCTCTCAGTGCCGCAGAATGATGTAGCGTTGCGGTGTAGACCAGGTGCTTGATGCTTGTATAACCTTCCACTAGAATACATCAGTGTCAACACTTGTAACATGATACACTTCAACCGTTGCTCTTATGAATATGACAGGACAAACTTGTATATTAATACATATATGTTTCTTATGTACATGTGTGGTGGGTTGATGGGGTGATTGTCAAGCGAATACCTCTGTTCTGTTTGCCACATGGGTATAATATGTGAAATTCTTTCTTGGTGTGATATGATATGGCTGGGATGTGGATATAAATTGCTCCAAACCATTATTTATACTCACCATTATTTATACTCTCTTTAGGTGAATACATGGAGTAATTAGATATCAGGCTACAAGTAAATGTTTCTTATGCACGTATTACACTATCAAAAACTTGGTCAAAATGGACTTTGGCCAAGTTTTTTATCAAAGGTTCTGATAGTGTAAGGGAGAGGACCGCCTTCGCGAGATCCATGTCGGTAGGCTACAGCGAGAAACATATATTATACTGTCTACATTGCCCATGGTGCAAGCAATATGTATATCGAACATCCATGTGATAGGTACATATGAACTTGTGAATGTCTGTCCTGCATCATATATGGAATATGTATATTCTTTGAAACCACAACCAATCTAGACTGTCAAAAGTCATGTCTAGACAGCACAGTCAGCATCAGGATATAATATTTTTAGAGGTGAGGTATGCGTAATAAAAGATTTCATAGACTGTATATGTCAGTCTATTGTTCAAGCGTACTCCTCTCGTTAACTCGTGCGTAAGGATTGCTGACAAGGACATCGATGACTACTTCTACTTTTCACAATTACACTCCGCAACTAATTACGCAATGTTTGTATGATGATACAAGTTATTTAAACAATGAAGCGATGCGGTGCACTCCTTGGTCAACACAACGCAACTGTACTGTACGACTGCTCGTTTGATTAACCATGTCAACTGTTAATGGCTTTTTAGGTAATGGACGACAAGCATGTACACAAAATCAAGTTACTAAGAATATCTTAGACCTTTTTGTATTTAGGATGTAATTACATTTAATAGTTGACTAATTTGATATTTAGTTTTGGTTTAATACTTAAGTAGGTTGTTATCTCGACACCTTATTAATGGACGTACAAGGAAAATATATTTTTTTAAAGATTTGAGTTCAAATGTGCACATATCTTTATCTGATTAAAAGGAACACGCCCACGTGAAGGATAATATTTACTTTCATGATAATGTTTGTTTTCCCAGTGTCACAATATACTCTAAAGGCAACAACAAAATTATTATTATTTTTATAATTATTATTATTATGCAGCGTTTAACAACAAACAATAGCAGTTATAGTAGTAGTGGTGGTAGTATCACCATCATATGACTACACCTCTTTTTTTTCAAACTGGACACTTTCTTATATCACATGTGACACATTCCTTACCTGATGATATTCATAACACGATGTTATTACGACTTTACGTTTTTGAGTTGAGCATTCTTCTGACCCTGCGGAGTGACTGACGTCTTAAGAAAAAGACAGAGTCTCCACATAGCTGTTTCAGAGTATAGTATCGGGACATTTCGAATAGTGTTTATGAACATAAAAAACGTAATAAACACTTTATTATATTATGGATATACATGCATCTGTTTTGAAATCCAATCGTGAATGACAGCACTTTAAATTGTGCAACCTGTCGTTGGCATTAATTGCTTAGTCACATCTGCCACGTGTAAATAACGTGAACATCACTCACAGCCAGTGTATTGACTTCCGAACATTGTCCTGAGCAGCCGTCACAGACAGACAGTGAACCTCTCTATTCAAGACACGGCGAATGTATTGTTGTTATATGCCAGAGGAGCAGGATGACCTCGATGGCTGCACGGGTCGACTGTGGTGACGTAATTCCACGTCACTTGTCGCTTCAAATTCAGTGCTATTTATGTGACATGTGACGTGTGACGCAAGTGTCTATTATATAATCCCACCTGAGAATAAGGTCGCCCGACTTAAGTTTCTGTGTTTTCCAATGATATATACTTTTATTCAAAAGCCTACGTACGAAAATATATTTGTCGCATGCTGAAACTGTCGAGCAGTTAAATGAATGAAATGAAGCTTGTCAAAATGTACTGTTGAACAACTAAAATGATGTTTAAGATCTTTATAAAATCAACGCTGGCCCCATTGTTCCATTAACATGACTCTCGCATACCCCTGCTGGTACCAAACCTGAGTCAAATGACAGTTTGAAATGAGAAGGTAAACAAGATTGTTTATTTCCTTTTTGGCCAAAGGACATATGGAATTATTATTATCTCTAAAGTTGAGCACATGAAATATGTATTTAGCAAATCTCTGACTAATTTTTGGACGTTCATCTTGTAGCAAGTTAATAAATTGTAGTACACTTGGAAATCTACATAGGAATTCAGATACCGTGGATATAATATGGACACACCATAACAAAATAGTATTCATCTCCAATTCATTAATATAGAAAGGGCAAATACGATTTTCCCATGCTAATTTAGAATTTTCCCATCTTTCCTTTTCAATCGTTAAATTATAAGAACCCACTCTGCACCGAGTTAAGACTATTCTATATTTGGAGACATCAATTAAAGTTAAAAATTAAATAATAAGGGAATGATTAATATTTAAAAATAGTCGAGTTTCACTTATCGACTTTAACTGGTTTCGACACATGGAGGACGCACATCTATTGTCCTTTGCTTAAATTCCTTTTGAAAATAAAATACCATGTATCCGAATTAGTTAAAGGGCATATTGCTCCCCCTTTATGTCTAGGATTCTGGACTTCTCACTGACATTCATCATAACAGTTTAGTTAACAAAGTAGTGTTTAACGTCATTAAACAACCTTGCTGTGACAACTGGTTTGAGACTTGTGCACTTTAAATGGTTTGGGGTTTTCTGACGGCTTGAAACAAACTTGCTAGGAGTGCCATTTTGCCCGGGAAGAGTGCACCTTTAACATTCTGAACGAGAGGAACCGGTTTGAGTAAATGCACACCCTGAAGTGCTAAGCCCGTCGCAGTCCTTAAGGAACATGTGACATTTCAACGGGTTCCGGGACGGTTTAATGTTACAGTGGGTGAGGCCCACCAACCATTGAGTGGATAAACATAATTTCTGTAGATAAACTGGGACGTGTTTGAACTGAAATAAGTAAGTGTACATGCATATCATTCCCCTTGACCATAAGCTGTGTTAGTGTGTACGTTGTGAGATGGACACCATGTCTGTTAATAATACAGTAGAGGTTATTTAGTTATTTGTCTTCGTTGTTTGTTTGTTGTTTAACACCGCACAATATTCCAGCTATATGACGGCGGTCTGTAAATTATCGAATCTGGACCATGACAATCCAGTAATTGACATCATGAGCATGAGCCACGCAATTGTGTACACGATGACATGCATCACCCAAGTAAGCGAGCCTGACGTCTCTTGCGACAAGCATAGTTACCTTTTACGGCAAGCATGGGATGAAACCCGGATCTTCACGGGTCTATTTGCCTTGTCTCAGAATTAATTATGATATATTTCAATTGTCAGATCTTTGCGTGACACTGATAATATCTACGAGAGTACCTGACGTTCTTTTTTATCCTTCGTCTCACGAGTGTGTAGTTTATATGACTATTTAAATTCCACACTAGCACCACACAGAGTAGTGGCTGTTATATTGACTGATAGACTAAACATGCGCGCAAATACCATAAATCCGTGATCAAACGACCTTTTTTGTAGGGTTTTCGCGAACCCCTCAGAAACGACATCTAGGAAAGACATGCTTTTGATTTCAGAAAAAAAGTAAATTGATCAAAGGGGAAAAGTAGTGATGTATATTTATCAAAAGAACTTAAAGGACATGAGAGATTAACTATAGTGATTATAAAGATAGGATGATCTTTAACTTCTTTTGAGTAGTATATATCTTGCTGGTTATCAGGTGTGATGTTATCTTTGTACTAGAGATCTACTCCACAGGCTCTATTTCTTTTTTCTCAATACCGCCACTTGTTGAAGGTAACCTCTGAGCATGATTAGATAGAGCGAGACCCGTGAATATCGGAATAGAAAATAGGTCTTCAGAAACCAATGCTTTCCGTAAGAGGCGACTATGCTTGTCATAAGAGGCGACTAACGAGATCGGGTGGTCAGGCTCGCTGACATGTTGATGCATGTCATCGTATCCGAACTACGTGGATCGATGCTCATGATGTCAGTCATTGAATTGTCTCGATTAATCACATACCGCCGTGATAAAGATAGGAGGTTGCTGAGTGCGGTGTCAAACAACAAACAAACAAGATAGAGCGAGGACTAGACTGTAGGTCATATGCACTCAGATGTATTCCATCTTAAGATAGAGCGCCCGCCCTGAGAGCGGAAGGTCCGGGGTTCGATTCCCGGCCGCTTCATACCAAAAGAACGTTAAAGGATCCACACGGGGGACTGTTGACAGATTGGGGGGAAGAGCAATTCACGACAGGGTCCATGTGTCTTCCACGAGTGAAGACCGCCTCCGTGGTCTAATGGTAGAGCGTCCGCCCGGAGAGCGGAAGGTCCGGGGCTCGATTCCCGGCCGCTTCATACCAAAAGAACGTTAAAGGATCCACACGGGGGACTGTTGACAGATTGGGGGAAGAGCAATTCACGACAGGGTCCGTATGTCTTCCACGAGTGAAGACCGCCTCCGTGGTCTAATGGTAGAGCGTCCGCCCTGAGAGCGGAAGGTCCGGGGTTCGATTCCCGGCCGCTTCATACCAAAAGAACGTTAAAAGATGGTACTTCTTGTTACCCTGTCTGGCGGTAGGCATTAAGGGACTTAAACAAGGACTGGTCGGCTCGGATTCAGTATACTGTGTCTGAGTGGGGTATTCATGTTAAACTGCGGCATGGTATCCCAGT